AATATACATTCTTCTGAGCACCACATCACACCTACTCAAAAATTGACCACATAATTGGAAGTAAAGCACTCCTCAGCAAATGCAAAACAACTGACATAATAACAAACAGTCTCTCAGACTGCAATCAAATTAGAAGTCAGAATTCAGAAACTAACTCAGAACCGCACAGCTTCATGGAAACTGAATAACTGGCTCTTGAATGTTGATTGGATAAAGAATGAAATGAAGGCAGAAATAAAGAAGTTCTTCAAAACCAACAAGAACAAAGACACAACATACCAGAATCTCTGGGACACATTTAAAGCAGTCTCCAGAGGAAAATGTATAGCAATAAGTGCCCACATGAGAAGAGTGGAGAGATCCAAAATTGACACCCTATCGTCAAAATTGAAAGAGCTAGAGGAACAAGATAAAAAAAACTCAAAACCTAGCAGAAGACAAGAAATAACTAAGATCAGAGCAGAACTGAAGGAGACAGAAGCATGAAAAACCCTTCAAAAACTCAATAAAGCCAAGAGCTGGTTTTTCAAAAAGATCAACAAAATAGACAGACCACTAGCCAGACTGATAATAAAGAAAAGAGAGAACAACCAAATAGATGCAATAAAAAACGATAAAGGGGAAATCACCACAGATTCCACAGAAATTCAAACCATCATCACAGAATACTACAAACAACTCTATGCACATAAACTAGTAAACCTGGAAGAAATGGATAAATTCCTGGACACCTGTGTCATACTGAATGGGCAAAAACTAGAAGCATTCCCTTAGAAATCTGGCACTAGACAAGGATGTCCTCTTTCCCCACTCCTATTCAATATAGTACTGGAAGTTCTAGCCAAAGCAATCAGGCAAGAAAAAGAAATTAAGGGTATTCAAATAGAAAAGGTGGAAGCCAAATTGTCTCTATTTGCAGATGACATAATAGTATACCTAGAAGACCCCATTACCTCAGCCCAAAAACTCCTGAAACTGATAAGCAACTTCAGCAAAGTCTCAGGATATAAAACCAATGTGCAAAAATCACAAGCATTCCTATAGACCAATAACAGACTTAAAGAGAGCCAAATCAAGAATAAACTGCCATTCACAATTGCTACAAAGAGAATAAAATACCTAGGAATACAACTAAAAAGAAACATAAAGGACCTCTTCAAGGAAAACTACAAACCACTGCTCAACAAAATAAGAGAGGACACAAACAGATGGAGAAACATTCCATGTTCATGGTTAGGAAGAATCAATATCATGAAAATGGCTATACTGCCCAAAGTAATTTACAGAATCAATGCTATACCCATCAAGCTACCATTGACTTTCTTGACAGAACTGGAAAAAAACCACCATGAACTTCATATGGAACCAAAACAGAGCCTGCATAGCCAAGTCAATTCTAAGCAAAAAGAACACAGCAGGGGGCATCACACTACCGAACTTGAAACTATACTACAAGGCTACAATAATCAAAACAGCATGGTACTGGTACCAAAACAGAGATATAGACCAATGGAGCAGAACAGAGGCATCGGAGGTAACACAACATATCTACAACCATACAATCCTTGATAAACCTGACAAAAACAAGCAATGGGGAAAGTATTCCCTGTTTAATAAATGGTGTTGGGGAAACTGGCTAGCCATGTGCAGAAACCAGAAACTGGACCCCTTCCTGACACCTTACACTAAAATTAACTCCAGATGGATTAAAGACTTAAACATAAGACCTGGCACCATAAAAACCCTAGAAGAAAATTTAGGCAAAACCATTCAGGACATAGGAGTAGGCAAGGACTTCATGACCAAAACACCAAAAGCATTGGCAACAAAAGCCAAAATAGGCAAATGCGACCTAATGAAACTCCACAGCTTCTGCACGGCAAAAGAAACATTCACTAGAGTGAATCGGCAACCAACAGAATGGGAAAACATTTTTGCAGTTTACCCACCTGACAAAGGGCTGATATCCAGAATTTAAAAAGAACTCAAACAGATTTACAAGAAAAAAAAACAAACAAGCCCATTCAAAAATGGGCAAAGGATATGAACAGACACTTTACAAAAAAGACATACATGAGGTCAACAAACATATGAAAAAATGTTCATCATCACTGGTCATTAGAGAGATGCAAATCAAAACCACATTGAGATACCATCTCACGCCAGTTAGAATGGCGATCATTAAAAAATCTGGAGACAGCAGATGCTGGAGAGGATGTGGAGAAATAGGAACACTTCTACACCGTTGGTGGGAATGTAAATTAGTTCAACCATTGTGGAATACAGTGTGGCAAAATAGAAATTCCTTAGAAATAGAAATTTCATTTGACCCAGCAATCCCATTACTGAGTGTATATCCAAAGGACTATAAATCGTTCTACTATAAGGACACATACACATGAATGTTTATTGCAGCACTGTTTACAATAGCAAAGACCTGGAACCAACCCAAATGCCCATCGATGATAGACTGGACTGGGATAATGTGGCACATACACACCATGGAATATTATGCAGCAATCAAAAATGTCCTTTGTAGAGACATGGATGAATCTGGAGAACATCATTCTCAGCAAACTGACACAACAACAGAAAATGAAATACCACATATTCTCACTCACAGGTGGGTGAGGAAAAATAAGAACACATGGACACAGGGAAGGGGGTACTACACACTGGGGTCTATTGGGGGGAATAGGGCAGGGACAGTGCGGGGGTGAGCTGTGGAGGGATAGCCTGGGGATAAATGCCAAATGTGGGTGAAGGGGAGGAAGGCAGCAAATCACACTGCCATGTGTGTACCTATATGACTATCTTGCACGTTCTGCACATGTACCCCAAAACCTAAAATGCAATTTAAAAAAATACCTTCAAGAAAACAAAATGGCAAACCACAGAATAGAAGAAAACAGTCACAATATATGTATCCAATAAAGAACTTGTATTCAGAATATATAAAGAACTCTTCATATTCAACCAGAAGAGATTAAAAACCCAATTTTTCATAAACACTCGAATAGACACTTTATAGAAGATACCTAAATGATAACCAATATGCACATAAAAACTAATCGCCTGCTGTACTGCCACAGTTCATCACATATATTCTTGATAAGCTATTTTTAATAAATAAATAAATAATAAAATGTGTACACTTTATTATACCTAACTTAGACCTTAATAAAGTTGATTTTTGAAAAAGAAAGACTGGTTCCTGACTAACTTAAGGGTAGAACATATAGACCTCTCAGTACTTTGGTAGAACTTACAGTTGGGCTGGGGAGGACCTACATTCTAGCTACACTAAGTACCTTTGATTTGCCCAAGGTTAGAGACATCTTTCCCTCTGATACTTTTTGTTAAGTCAAACTATGTAGTCTTGAGGATCGTTCACTATTGAGAAGACACATTACAGGTCACTGCCACAGCTAACAAGGAGACTCTCCTTTTCACCCTGAAAATCCTTTGTATTTGGCTATGGAGAAGACCATCAAACATAAAGAGCCTTCACTTTAGGGTATCTCTGGTGTACAGATAAACTCGGGGATAAAATGTAAGGAAACAAGTGTCCATAATAGATCCCAGATCACTACCAAAGCAAGGAAGTCTATGGAATCTGAGACAGAGAGAATAAGTGTGGTCTAAAATCCACATCTGCAAGTACCATTCAGGGATGAAATACGCCAAGTATAACTTTTGAGGTTGCAGTATACATGATAATGCCTTAAAACAGTGTTTCCAAGGATTCGGACAAGTACTAGCGGTAGTACATGGAATTACTTTAAAAGCTTTTTCTGAGATGAATTGGGATGGTAAACAAACATAATATTAAATAGCACTGAGTCATACAAGGATTCCTTTTCTTATTCTCCTAGTTTTCTAATTTTGTATCAAAAAGTCTCCTTTCCTACTAATGTCTTTTACACTTATTTCTTTTCTCCTTTAAACAAAGAGAAAATGCAAAATACCTAACTGAAATGCAGTATAATTGTTTGTTTATTTACATAGTTATCTTCTATTTAAGGCAAGTAAACTGGTTTTGAATTTGAGATCGTGATGCTATATTTTATGAAATAAATGTTTTTCAATTAAAAGGCGGTTAGTTTATTTTAAAAATAAGTAAAAAGTGCTTCTGTGGTATATTGATATGATGACATATGAACACCGGAGATTACATAACATTGCCTTAAAATGTTAATTTGTAAGGAGGTCTATGTATCTCTGTATAGATATAACTGTACTGATAATCATTAAATTATTATTATATTAAAAATATTAAAGAAATTCAACTGCAGGACCATTTTTAAATCATAAACTAGTTTTAAATTCAGAACTACATGCCTGTTAATGTTTCTCAAAGTTGCAGATCCCAGATTCCTGATAAAGGGCCAGCTTAGGATTTTTAGCATCTTATAAATTAGGATAAAGCACTATATAATTTGACAAAAGACAGAAATACATCTGAACAATGATTAAAGGTCGAATTCCATTCTGCTTCTATCTCTATTAGGGTGTGCTCTTGCTTGAATGTGGGTAGATGAAGAAGATACACAGAGGATACCCCTGAAAACAAGATTCTGTCCCCATAAAAGTTGGCAATCTGCTATTTTTAGTTATGCTCTTTTTCTTCCTGGTATATATCTCAATTTCTTTTACACATAATCTTAGCCAAAAAGCCAAGAAGCAATCTCAATTCCTTTTTTAAAAATCCATAAAATTTTACATTTTACTTTATGTCCATTAATCATTTCAAAAATATAATTCACGTGAACACATTTCTTCAAAATTGTTATGTTGTCGTCAATGTTTTGACAATGATGTGCAGTTTTTTACAAACTCAACCTCAGCTCAACTCTAGAGAATTTTGCCAGCCAAAGTTAAAAAGAGAACTGTACAACAGATTTTCTTATTTAAAGAAACATAAGACAGTTTGATTTCTACCCTTCTTATAGTTTCCTGAGTAAAATTAAATTTGGAATGAACAAAGATAAACCCCTTACCTGTTGGAAGGTGCAGTGTTATGTTGTTGCAAAAATCTGTGAAGCAGCATTCAGTTTTAGTAATATTGTTGGAACTATGACAGAAGACTTGAGCATTCAGTTCTGGAAGGGAGACACAGGATTTGATCACCTGTTCTCTTCCATTGGTTAGCATGACTGATGCCCAACATGCTCCTTCTGTTTGGCAGGTAAAGTTTGAAGAATCACACAAAAGGCATACACACTTCAGACCTGGAAAGAGTAAGGAAAAAGGTTTAAAATACAAAAGACATCATGCTACTTTATTTGATAATACCTTAGAATATAAATTCAATCTTAATGAAAATGGAAAAAGGGTTTAAATAAAAGCACTCGCTAAACACGTGCTAAGCTGTTACTCCCTCTCTGTCATGTTATTTCACTAAATAGCCTGCCAAATTATCATTTACTATTGCTAATATCTTTGTGAATTTATTCAGTTGCTATTATATTTAATGAATTTTCCTCATCCATGCTCTAAATCCCCCTTATTAAGTTCAATCATCTCATTCCTAAATCAATAGCTCCTAGGAAATGCTAGGAAACAGTATCACAGCAACCAAGGGGAGCTGTCCAGCATCACTCGTAGAACCTTAAAGTGGGGTTACGGCAGCTGTGTAACCAAACAATTCAGTGTGTTCTCTTCATTTGCCCTCCTTCCTTTAAACTTTCAAGCAAACGTGCTAAATGCAAAAGTAACCATAGATATTTATGTCTCTAAAAAATAGTTGTGAGCCTTTATATTTATTTTCTGTGATACTTTAACACAATTGTTATTGTTGTAGTTCCTTTACGGCATTGATGAGCCACTACATTTCCCCTCTTCACTAAAGAACGTATCTTAAAATGAATTATTTGAACAAACACCATGACATTCAGGTAATTTTCTTTAATGCACACATCTAGTCCATAAAGCAAAGAACACCAATAATAGAAGTTAGAATATCTACACAATACAACTGTGGAAAAGTATACTTTGTTAATCTGTTCATTATCATACACCTCCCCAACATTCTCCACTTACTAACACACACACACACACACACACACACACACACCCCACTAACTCACATGTCCAAAGTGGTGCCTATTTATGTTTTGTTTGATGTAAAACATTCATCAGCATAAGCGCCTAGTGGTTGTGATTTATTCAACTTTTTTTGCTCTTTTTTTTTAATTGCATTTTAGGTTTTGGGGTACATGTGAAGAACATGCAAGATAGTTGCTTAGGTACACACATGGCAGTGTGATTTGCTGCCTTCCTCCTCTTCACCTATATCTGGCACTTCTCCCCATCTCCCCACCCCCCACTGTCCCTCCCCTATTCCCCACAACAGACCCCAGTGTGTAGTGATTTATTCAACTCTTATTTAAATATATTGTTTCTAAATACTGCAATGCTAAATAAGCTTTGTATTATTGTTTTTAATTATTTAAATTTCAATAGCTTTAGGAATACAAGTTATTTTTGGTTACATGGGTGAACAGTATAATGGTGAAGTCTCAGCTTTTAGCGTACCCATCACCCGAGTAGTGTACATTGTACCCAACAGATAATTTTCCATTTCTAACCTCCCTCCAACCCTCCCACACCTCCTGAGTCTCCAATATCCATTGTGTCTTTTTGTATGCCTTTGCATACTCATAGCTTATCTCCCTCTTATTAGTGAGAACATGCAGTATTTGGTTTTCTGTTCTTGAGTTACTTCACTTAGAATAATGGTCTCTGGTTCCATCAAAAGTTGCTGCCAAAGACATTATTTCATTCTTTTTTATGGCTGAGTAGTAGTCTATGGTGTATGCATGTGTAGATAGATGATAGATAGATGATAGATAGATAGATAGATAGATAGATAGATAGATAGATAGATAGATGATAGATAGATAGATAGATGGTGTGTATACGTATATACACACCACATGTTTTTATTCATTCATCAGTTGATGGACACTTAAGTGATGCCATATCTTTGCAATTGTGAACTGTGCTGAGATAAACATACACATGCAGGTATCTTTTTGATACTCAGTAGTGGGACTGCTGGATCAAATGGTAGTTCCATTTTCAAGTCTTTGAGAAATCTCCATATTGTTTTCCATAGACACTGCAATAATTTAACTTTCCATCAGCAGTGTATAAGCATTTGCTTTTCACCATATCCATACCAACATCTATTGTTTCTTGACTTTCTAATGATGGCAATTCTTGCTGGGGTAAGCTGGTATATTGCTGTGATTTTAATTTGCATTTCCCTGATGATTAATGATGTTGAACATTTTTTCATATATTTGTTAGCCATTTGTATGTTTTCTTTTGAGAAGTGTCTGTCCGTGTCATTTACCTACCTTTTCATGGGATTATTTGCTTTCTTTTCTTGCTAATTTTCTCGAGTTCCTTGTAGATTCTGAATATTAGTCCTATTTTAGATGTATGCTTTGCAACTATCTTCTCCCATTCTATAGGTCATCTGTTTATTCTGTTATTTCTTTGGTCGTGCAGAGATCACAGATGACACAAACAAATGGAAAAATATCCCATGCTCATAGATTGGAAGAATCGATATTGTGAAAATGACCATGCTGCCTACAGCAATCTACAGATTCAGTGCAATTCCTATCAAAATACAACATGATTTTTCACAGAATTAGAAAATAAAATCCTAAAGTTTTTATGGAATCAAAAAAGGACCTGAGTAGCCAAAGCAATCCTAGGGGAAAGCACAAATATGGTGGCATCACATTACCTGACTTCAAATTATACTATAAATACAGGGCTACAGTAACCAAAACAGCATGATACTTGTATAAAAGTAGACACATAAATCAATGAAACAGAATAGAGTCCCCAGAAATAAAGCCACATACTTACAATCAATGATCTCTGACAAAGCACACAAAAAATACATTGGGGGAAAGAATACTCTATTCTATAAATGGTACTTGGAAAAGTAGATAGCCACATGTAGAAGAAAGAAACTGGATCCCCCCTCAAATTATACAAAAATTAACTCAAGCTGAATTAAAGACTTAACTCCAAGCCCTAAAACCAGAAAAATTCTAGAAGAAAACCTACCAAAAAAAACTATTCTCAACATTCCCTAGGTAAAAAATGTATGACTAAGACCCCAAAAGCAAATGCAACAAAATAAATAAATAAATGTATTATTAATTTAATTGAAGTTTTCATTAAACCACAACTGCCCTCCTATAATTACCTAAATGTCCAAATTTTTACCATATAATCATATTTACTAAAATTAAAGTCTTTAGATTGTGAATCACTCAAATTGGAGTTTATTTTATACTTGTAAAATATTTGATACATTAATGACAACTTTCATTTAACTTCAAATACCCATATGGGAGCAAAAATGGGTAATATACCTATATAACTGGATATTTAAGGAAGAACAAATCATATATCAGTCATACAAAAATTATTCTCTTCTATCAGTAATTTTTCTTAACTGGTGAAGGATCATTCCTAAAAACATTTTTATTATTGTTGTCCTACAATAATCCCGTGGGTAACCCCCCAACATGGGCACAAAGGAAGGAGAGCTGTGCAAACCCCAGGCACAATTAGTACCTGAAGAATACCTTAGTTTATAGTGTTATTACTCAGCTACTTTCTATATATAATCATATGTTAGTTTATAGAACTAGTGCCTGAAGTATAACTTTCTGCTTACATATATCTAGCTTATATAATCATACTTAGTACTTATAGCTAGCATACTTAGTTCCACATAATCTCTCTATATAATCATATAGGCATTGTAGTCAGAGCTGTACCAACACATTTAGTGCTGATTTATATAATTCTTCTATATAACCATGGAATAGTTTGTAGTAGGAAGAATGCCTAGAGCAGTCACAGAGCAGAAGCAGTATATGGAAAAACAGCCAGACCAGGACAAGAACCAAAGACCCAGGCAGTGGCATCCCTGCCTGAAAGGGCATATGCTGTATGGCAGGCTTGGAGCAAGAGCCTCTCCTCCTGATAAAGGAGTTGTAGTACTTTGCATCCAGCTCCTGTGGAAAGTAGGCCTCAGGCCTGAGATTCTTCAAATAACCGAGAGAGAACGCCTCTGGTGTGACCAGGTCATGGCAGCTATACTCCGTCAGTCTTTTCTCACTTCTGTGCTAGCTCAAATCAGCCTCCCATAAATATCTTAGAGAAGAGCACAAGTCTGTCAGCTCCCACTGCATTGGCTTACAGTATCTCTCTACTAGAAATCCTTTGAAGTCTCCAGCCCCCAGGTAAGAAGCATTGCACACAACACCTGTTGCACACAGCCTACCTCCCTGCCTGGTAACCTAATGGGGTGGACCCCTTTTCTGTACACAACCCTCTACCAGTGCGCACAGCATGGCCCCCTACCATGCACGGCCCACCTCTCTGCCCAGGTGACATAATGGAGTGGCCCCCTAGCTTGTTACTCATGTGATTATGTATGCCCTACGACTAAATCTATAGATGATGACCTCACTTAATGACCCTTTCCCCTGCTTGTATCTAATAAATACAGACACTTCTGGACATTCGGGGCCTCGCCTGTCTCCACTCATAGGTGGCGTGGCCCCACGAGTCCAGCTGCTCTTCTCCAGTTCTTCAGTGTCCCGTCTCTTTATTTCTCAGATCCAGCACCTCAGCAAAACAGAAGAGACACCCCATGACCCTTTGGGGTCAACAGCCCTACACAATCCTAAAACAAAATACTGTTTTATTATCAACATTGAACTAAGCATAACAGCTCACTTTCCTATTTATTCCAGTGGTGGCAATTATTAATAAATATATTTTCACCAGTATTTATGTGCTACAGAACAACCATATATCCTAAATTGATTGGGATTCCATAGAGCTATATAAAATCTAGTGCTTTAGAACATATTTTCAAGGTACTTCCCTGGCAAAAAAGAGAGCTCATATTATGGGCAACCATTCATCTAGGTTTCTACTGACAATAGAATCTTTCTATTATTTTCCATTTCTAATCTTACAAATTTGGTTATACTAGCTTTGTAATCTTAGGCATTACCTGGCCTCCTGTACCTCCATTTTCTTATATGAAAGACAGGACTTTTATTAAGAAATAATAATAATAATGTATCTCCTCATAGTGTTGTTGTGGAGAATAAATTAATCTATATAAAGCCCTTAGATCAATGTCTGGCACATAGAAAATATTATATAAAGAGTTAGTAAC